GAGACATCTTGAATATTGAAAAGATTTAAATAAGATGAATTATCTATCTCTAAGTAATCATTTGAATCTTTGTCAGTATGAGATAGTTGGTGTATGCTCACATGAGAATGTTTAGTTTTTCCACAAACCCTTGCAATATGACCAAGAATGCCACATTTATTACAGGTAAATGTTCTAAATCTACAATTCTCACGGGAATGATTTTTGCTTCCACAAGATTTACAGATGTAAGTACTGGTTTTCTTTGTTTCAAACTTAGTTTTATCTCTAGGACTATTCTCACTAAACTCCTTCTTTCTGTTAGAGAACTTTGTGGAACGAATTTTAAAACAATCGTTTTCGAGTGGCAATTTATTGAAACGACCTGCATCAATCAGAGCTTGTTCCATAGCAATAGCATAATTGATCGCTTTCTGAAGGTCTAATTCCAACTCAATTTTAGCAAATAGATTTGAACGAATCCTAGGGTCGTACAAGCCCGACACGAATTGATCTCTTAAACGTGAAACAAGGGAATCTCCAAAATCACACTTTTCACTTAATGATTTTAAACAAACTATAAAATCGTTAATCGATTCTCCTTCTTTTTGTACCCGGCGAGTAAAGTTCGCTCTCTCGGAAATAATACTGACTGATTTATTTCTATGGGACCTCATTATACTTTTTAAATCAGCAAATGTCTTCGAAGAAGGTTTATCTGGGAGACAAAGGTTCCTTAATAATTTGTAAGCCACCGGACCCATTTGACTAAGAAGAGTAGCCACCATTTTTCTATCGTCGGTGATATTGGACGCTATAAAGAATTCTTCCAATTGCTCGACATATTCATCCCAGTCAGTATTTACGTTGTAAGGGTTAACGTTAATCGCATTTGCCATTTTCGAATAAAGGAAAGAGAACAACAATAATAAGCAATTTGGTAACTTACGGGTCGAAGGTTCAAAGTCTAGCTGAATGTAACCACGTGTTGACTTCGGTGAATTGGTCGAGAAAAATAAATGAACGTCAGTATTCTTGAATAAAATTGAAGAAATATATTATCTTTAATCCACCTCGTCACCAGAATTGGTATGTATTAACGTCGGAATTAGATTACGAAAAGGATTGAAACGGATTCTCATGAAACAGCTAAATCAACACGTCTTTATTGAAGTACATAACGGTGCAGAACTCTGCAGTGCGCAGGCGCGCTACTACATATATACATTTGAACTGCCTAGATGGCGCTGCGATACATAGCAGTGCCATCCATGGAAGTTGTGAAAGCACAGCTTCCCTTGTATTTTCTAAAATATAAATACATATTGTGTGATTATTTCCATTAATTAATTCAAAGTATGTTAAAATAAGTTAATATTTTATTATAACCACATTATGTATCTTATTACAGATTTCTATACATATGAAAACAATGATAAGATTGCTATTGTATAATTGAATATAAATTTGTATATGCATATTCCCATTGGAAGCACTGTATTGTCAAATACGGGATAGCTTCCTTGGTAAAAATATTTAAATTGTGTAAAGCAGCCAATTTATACACATTTGTGCATGTGCTTTACAGAGCACTAACCTCACGCAGTTTAGCTTGTGGATGCTAGACACTGAAATATCATATAATGCTTCCAATGATTCTATCCAGGGCCAGCACAGCTTCCCTATCATCACATATCACCGCATGCCACTGCAATCTATTATAGACTATTATCTGTGCATATATGGTCAATGACTATTCCATTTTTCCTTAATAATGTTAGCAAGGAAATTCATAAAGTCTATTTCCTGTAAAATAAATTTAATAACTAGCTACATACTACTAATCCTGATGTAGCTTGTGTTAGACTAAGTTTACAAAAACTAACAGGAAGAATAAAATATAAATCTTACTTAATTGTACTATAAACTAGTACATGAAAATTTAAATTTTTGTGTACTAGTTTATAGTACAATTAAGTAAGATTTATAACAAGATCTGACTCCATTGGTTTTTTAAACAATTTTAATTTTTAAAGAATAAAATATTTTGATTGTATATTATGCTTTAAGTATTTTAATGGTCAAATACATAATTACTAGCTTAAACTAAGAATATCCAATAGAAGAAAAACATAGATATATACTCCTCATTATAGTCTAAAAATATCCCACAGATCTACTTTTGTTGTAACACCATACATTCTAGTCCAGTAGAACATATTCTACATTATGATTTTATACAATATAAGAGATTGTGTCAACATATTTTATATGCTTAACTGATTGGTAATATAGTGTGCTTTATTAAATTTTTACCTTTTAATATACAAATTTCTTAAATTTATTTATATTTTTATAGTAGTTGATATTATTTATTTATATCTTGTTTATGTAATTTGTTAGATAAGTTGAACTATATTATAAAAAAAATATATATACAGATTTATAATTTATACACTAATTCTTATTTAGCTCTGTTATTTTATTGTACAATGCAGGTTACTTGTTGTTATGGAATGGAAATTCATTGTCATAAAACATTTCCAGTTATACATAAATAAAATAAATAAATAAAACATTAATTGCTCTTAATAAATGTCTGATTAATAGCAATTATTTCAAATTTTCTATAAAAATGCCTCTCCAACAAGCTTGTCAAAATCAATCAAATAACTTTTGCTACATTTATGGAAAGTACTTCTTTGCATAGAAAGATGCTTTCATCTATCATAAAAAAAAATTTACATTACTTGGAATGGAATGGAAATAGGAGACCAAGATAAGCAGTGTGCTCCACATGTTTGTTGTGCAGTGTGCTATGCTAAACTGATTAATCAGTGGAAGGATAAAACTCTAAGTTGTTTTCTGTATCTACAGTATGGAGAAAACAAAAATACCATATCACCAATTGTTATTTTTGTCTAAGGAATACACAGGGATTTATAAATAGAAAATCTAAAAGACACATAATTTATCCAGATTTACTTTCTGCAATAAGATCAGGTCCATACTCAGCCTTCCAGTACTTTCAAGATTAATAAATGAAATTGACAGTGAAAGTGAAAAAAGTAGCAATGAAAATTGCCATCATCTCCTGAAAAATGACCACCTATATCAGGGCATAAGTAATCCAGTCTGACACTTTTTAACTCAAGTGGATCTAAATGATTTACTCTATGACTTAGAGTAAATCTCTCTTAAATAAAGGCTAAACTGCTGGATTCCAGGTTACAAAAATACAATATTCTACACCCAAGTAGAAACATTACTAAATTTGGACTTAGAGGAAAAATTTTTGTTACCTATTTTGTGCAACTAACAACATACTGACTTCCTGCAACCTCTGCACTTTAGATATGATCCTCAGGACTGGAGAAACAGTATGAAGAAAAGTGCATGTCTTCCATGTTAGTTGATGATTGTTGGATTATTATTAGAGACAAGAAAGAGAAGATATGCAAGATTTTGTTCATTTTTTTGAAGAATAACTATTAGATGTAATATTCACAAAAATATTATATCATGTATCTTATTTATAAATTTTTAATATTATATATAGGAATAAAGTAAGACTGATTAAGTTATTTCGTGAATACAATATATAAACCTTAAAATATTAAGAATATTAGAAACACCTTAAAATTCCAATTATTCATAAACTATCCCTAACTGAAAAAATCTAAACTAATCTAATCTAAAAATCATAGATTAAAAATTAGCAAAAAAAAAAAAAAAAAACTGAAATAAAGTGATTAATCAAAAATTATTACAAATATCGTAAATAACAGTTCACAAATGCATATATAGAAATTTTTTTTTTTGGAGAGGGAAATGGTCTTCACAATTTGAAATCGATCGAACACACTGTGAAATGATTGTATACACTCGCGCCATCTATCGTAGTATAAATGTACTATGCCAGAAACCATCGCGGGAATATATAAAACAAGTTCGCAAAGTTTCATGGCAANAGTGGCTTGCACCTGTATATCATACTTTAACAATAGAGTTGTGTCACTCATCAGAGAAAAACTTTTGAATTGAAATAACATGACTTTTGCACTAGAAGTTCATATACAGTTAATTGGGGTCTCTTACCTCTAATGCTTCCATATCTGGTCTTGACTTTTATCTATCTAACTCTGTTTGTGTTTCCTTAATCTTAAGAATGAACAGATGGATGGATAACAATGGAAATTTATAGGTCTACAATTTTTTCAAATTGCAGCCCAAAAATACACAAAATAACAATTTAAGAGCAAAAAAAAAAAGGAAAAAGTGCACACTGATGAAAAAAGAGGGACTAATATTCCCTCTAAACGATTGTAAATAATAAGAACCATCCTGTGATACTTTGAAAAGCAGGGGCATTTCAACTTCCCAATATTAGTTATATTAATGTGATCACTTTGATAAGTTTGCCCAAGTAATTTTGAAACATCCTGTACATAATTTTACTTATTGCATTATATATAGTACTAGCTGTTATCCGTGGCTTTGCTCGCGAGGATTTTGCAAGTAAACCCCATTTATATTCAATATTTCAACAACCATAGTAATTGTTATATAACACCTACCGCTGAGAATGATGAGAATTGCTGAGAATCAAACGAACTGTTTTCAATTTGATCAATTTTCTGGAATGTTTACAACTGTTCTATAATCGAACCAATATGCAATAACAAATTCAAATTTAAAACGGTTCGAACATTTTTAAAATTGAAATAGATAACATTTCAGACATTGTTATAAATATTTTTTATCAATTTAATACACCTAAGTACTCAATGAAAATTAAACGTAGTTGAAAACGAAAAATCGCATCTAAAATAGTACAGTAGAACCCGTTCTTCCGGTTAAGCCTTAATCCTCTCCTTCTCCCCCCACGGGGGAATTTCAAAAAATCCCTTCTTAGTGTGCGTTTTCATGACGTACCCTAACTGTGTAACAAATTTCACTTCTTTAGGTTCAGCGGTTTGCTCTGGGCAATGATGAATCAGTGAGTCAGTCAGTCACGACAAGTAATTTTATATATTTAGATTTAGTATTTCTCAATGTAATATTTTATTTAATGTAATCAATAGTGGATAATATTTTGACATCACTACCTTAATTAAAACTTCATATATCTTAATTTGAAGATCATTATACAAAACCACTTGTATTCTAAAAAATCAGACATATTAAACACTTACCCTCAACCATGGATGTTTCAAAGCACTCTTGACATCTATTCTTCCACTGAAAAAAATTTATAGTCATATTTATTAAATTCAAAAACATTTATTGATTTACAATTTTAAAAAGAAGTACATCAATAAAATAAATATTTGAAGCAATGATTTTCAAAGCATCAAAAATATTAATACTGATATAAATTTTTTAATATGGAAATTCATTGTCATAAAACATTTCCAGTTATACATAAATAAAATAAATAAATAAAACATTAATTGCTCTTAATAAATGTCTGATTAATAGCAATTATTTCAAATTTTCTATAAAAATGCCTCTCCAACAAGCTTGTCAAAATCAATCAAATAACTTTTGCTACATTTATGGAAAGTACTTCTTTGCATAGAAAGATGCTTTCATCTATCATAAAAAAAAATTTACATTACTTGGAATGGAATGGAAATAGGAGACCAAGATAAGCAGTGTGCTCCACATGTTTGTTGTGCAGTGTGCTATGCTAAACTGATTAATCAGTGGAAGGATAAAACTCTAAGTTGTTTTCTGTATCTACAGTATGGAGAAAACAAAAATACCATATCACCAATTGTTATTTTTGTCTAAGGAATACACAGGGATTTATAAATAGAAAATCTAAAAGACACATAATTTATCCAGATTTACTTTCTGCAATAAGATCAGGTCCATACTCAGCCTTCCAGTACTTTCAAGATTAATAAATGAAATTGACAGTGAAAGTGAAAAAAGTAGCAATGAAAATTGCCATCATCTCCTGAAAAATGACCACCTATATCAGGGCATAAGTAATCCAGTCTGACACTTTTTAACTCAAGTGGATCTAAATGATTTACTCTATGACTTAGAGTAAATCTCTCTTAAATAAAGGCTAAACTGCTGGATTCCAGGTTACAAAAATACAATATTCTACACCCAAGTAGAAACATTACTAAATTTGGACTTAGAGGAAAAATTTTTGTTACCTATTTTGTGCAACTAACAACATACTGACTTCCTGCAACCTCTGCACTTTAGATATGATCCTCAGGACTGGAGAAACAGTATGAAGAAAAGTGCATGTCTTCCATGTTAGTTGATGATTGTTGGATTATTATTAGAGACAAGAAAGAGAAGATATGCAAGATTTTGTTCATTTTTTTGAAGAATAACTATTAGATGTAATATTCACAAAAATATTATGATATAATAATTCTATTGTTTGCATTTCATTTTAGATCATTTCATCCAAAATCTATTATTTTTTTTTATTAATATTATTAATTTTGATTATCTGATTTATGTGTTTATAATATACATTTAATCAAGGCTACAAGATAGGATGACAAGGGAAAGTTGCCCCAGGCTCCATATGTTGCAGCTATTTCTGTCTGATTGGTCGGATCTAAATAAATACCTTTTATCAAAAATAAAAATGATTGCAGTATGAGAATGAAGTGTATTGAAGATATAATAAATACAGTAATTAAATAATAATTTTTAATGGGTAAAAAATATACTAAAGATTTTTTTCACAATAGTCCCTTATAGTAGACAACTACAGTAACTTAATTATCTTTTTCACATATTGTAAATTTTAGCTTGTATTTTTCATCAGATTCCAAAACTAATTTGTTATTTATTACTTTTTGTTATCACTTATTCATTATTAACATAATTTATATTGAAAAAGTAAAATATAGCCTTTTATTTTAACATTTTATTCTAATTTCTGAAATTAAAATTCAGTTAGCTTTGGTAATAAATGCACCTGCCTGATATGACAGAGGCAAATCTGTATCAGTGAATATTGAAAACTGTTTATTTTTATAAATAAAAAAAAACCTCATTTTTATTTGGTACTTTGATATATTTATTTAAATTTCTTCAAATTAACAGAAAATTTTGACCAAATAGTTTTTAAAGTAATCCAGACAAAATGCTTTTTTCTGCATCACTATGATTTTAAAATAAGTCTGACATCAGAAATTTATTAAGAAATAGAATAGCAGTAAAAGTTTTTATAATAGTAACTAATAATAGCATTATGTAGATACAAAGGAAGCCTAAATTATTAGTAAGTCATAGACTCTTCTTGGCAACCATCTTAAATATATTATTAAAAATAAATAGCCTTATAAATTAGGATATTAGATATTAAAAAATAAATTCCTCCACTTTTCTAAGTTCATTCTTTCAAATATGACTCACATCAACCATTAACCAGTGTGAATACGATTAACATTTGAGTGACAAATGTTTTCGTAATCCCTTCTGGCCTTTTCTTCAGGCTTTTTTCACTTCAGAACAGGCTTTACTAGAGAACAATATTTAATTTCCAATTTTAGTTAAAGGTGTAGTGTTTTTCACTAAATGTTTGTATGTCATCATTAAATATATACGTATCTATATACTGTATTTTGTCGCACATTGGTAATTGTAGACTTTTTCCATAAGTTCGTACCACTTCTTGAGGTGTGGTAGTGCGAGCCTGTGATTGGCTCCCCTGCCATGACGTATGTTCCCTCGTCAGGACATGGCACGGGTTATAAAAAGGAAAGACCACGTGCTAAGAGGACCTTTCTTCGTTTCACCTGGGTTCGTGTCGGGTCGTTGGCAGAGGAAGGAAGGTGAAGAACAAAGAAGAAAGAACCACGTGAAAGGAGGACAATTGTGTACTAAAGGAGAGACTTTCAGCAGGTATCAAGATCATCTGCCACGTAAGAATAGTCCAATTATCAAGTTATAAAGTACTAAGCCTAATTGTCGCGTCGGGCAATTTATGTGTGATTGCAGCGATTCCTAATTGTCGCGTCGGCATTTTATGTTAGATCACTCCGTCGTATTCTTGTGTCCAGATCAAAGGGGTGACGAGAGCCCCATCGCAAAACAAAAATCGTGTGTGAACCTCAGATGTGTATCTTCGTGAAATTAAATCTGTTCAGTGTTTTGTCAATTTGTGCTGTCTTTTCTATTCTTAATCTCCACGCTAACGTATTTCGGTACGCTACGGTACTACATATGGCGTCCGCGACAGGATTCTTTGTCATTGGGTAAGAACTTTTTAGAAAATTTTTTGTGAAGACGCGCACTGTTACTGAGGTTCATAGCGCACGTGTACTGTATGTGATAGTTATTTGCCATTGGAGAATTGTTTGTTAGTGTAATTGTGTAATTATAATTAGTACTTAATTGTAATGGAAGAACAAGTCTCGAGCAGATCTAATATGGCCGCCACGATAGAGTCCGGGAGCGTACCCATTATCACTGGCTTCATGGGGATGATCCCCTATTTCGCCAATGTATCTATGGATGCCCTTGAGATTCATAGATTTTTTATGACTCTGGATAACGTGGCCGAACTGGCGAAACGGGAAGATTCGGTAAAAATCTCCGTACTACAGGCTCGCTTAAAGGGTGAGCCATTGTCAATCTTCTTCGACTTGAAGGAACAAGGAGTGAATGACTATTCCTGCTTTAAGGGAGCCCTGATAAAATGTTTTAGTCGAAAAGAAAGGGCTCAGAATCACCTTAGCCTATTATTAAACGTAGCCCAAAAACGTGGAGAAATAGTATGTAATTATGCAATCCGTGTGAATTCCCTATTTTCGAAGGCTGCAATCTGCAACACCAAATTGGATTTACTTCAGGATGATGTGGTTAAGGAGAGTTTTATAAAAGGGTTATTGCCCGAATTAAGGAAATCGGTTATGCAGAGGCACCCACAAACTTGAGAGGAAGCAATTGAGTTAGCCGAGGCTGAGGAAGAGGTAGAGCTCGTTTGTAGTAAGCGAAGCCTCATCAGTGAAGTGGGTGTAACTGTAAACCAGGAACCTAGCCAGGTCGAACAGAAATCTAAGTTAGACAAACTGGAACAGAAGGTCGCCCAACTAAGTGAGTCGTTCAAATCGATGTGTGAGCTAGTTAAGGAGAGCCAGAGTCAGAGAAACGACCGGGTTGAGAGGAGAAGATGTTTCATTTGCGGGAATGTAGGTCACTTGGCAAAATTTTGCACAAGGCAAAGACCTTTAAACTAAAAAACGGTCGTTTGGAAGGTCAGGCAAATGGCCGTAGTGTGATTATGACTCTGACTAACAATGTGAGCCTTACGGAACGGGGGCTCCCTGTTGTGACAATAAGCATATTGGGACGGGAAATGAAAGGGTTACTCGACAGTGGTGCCGAAAGGTCTGTAGCAAGAGATGAGTTGGTGGACTGGGTAAAGGCTAAGAATGAGAACTCCGTAATTGAGAAGGAAGCGTTCATAAGCGGTATATCAGGGACAGTCATCTGTAGTAATGAGTCAATGTTAGTTACAATAAATGATGATATGCCAGAATTAGAAATTCCCAGAATGAAATTTCCAGCGAGAACAACTTATGAGTTAATTATAGGGATGGACATTATTACCAGTTATCCAACCTTGCTGACGCAAATACAAATTGGAATCGGTTCTGGGCGATTAGACATAAATCGCGACTTTAATATAAGCATAAATAAAGGGGCAGACGATGGTGAACATATATGGGACCTGGACCATCTTGAGAAGTGTGTTAAGGAAGGCGTATTAAGTGTGCTGAAGAAATACCCCACTGTAGTTGCTAAGTCTATAAGGGATGTCTCTGGCTCACGTAACTATGTTCACAGCGTAAAACTAACCTCTGATCAGCCTATTAACACCAGACAATATCGTATTCCTTATAGTTACTTGCCAGCGCTTAAGCGTAAGGTTAGTGAACTCATTGAAGCTGGAATTTGTGAGGAAAGTGTGTCATCCTGGAACTCCCCTATACATGTGGTACCCAAGGACTCTGGTGAGATCAGGCTCACTTTAGACCTGCGCAAGGTCAACGAAATAACCGAGCCACAAATTTTCCCCATGGCAAGAATTGACGATATTTTGGCTCAACTTGAAGGAAATCGCTACTTCTCTGTCCTTGATTTGAAAGCTGGCTATTTCCAAGTCCCTCTTGATCCAAAAGTAAGACATATATTTGCATTTTCCACGCCATGGGGGAAATATCAGTTATGCAGGATGCCTCAAGGAGGTAAGA